CAACAATGGAGAGTGAAAATGTTGTGAGCTACTTGTTTGGTGATTTCAGAGGTGTACCCATCTATACTTTGGTACATAAGACCCGTAGGCTGGCTTGCCTTTCAGTTAGCCAGAGTTTATGGAAGCAGATGTGTTGCTAAATGGCACATGAGATATGAATATTCTGATTCAGATCACTCTGAAGTTGATGCAATCATTGACCAAGACTCAAAGAGCACCTCCTGCCATCAGGTTGCAGAAGGAGATACTAATGGAATTGGAGACAACCACTGCATTAGGGCAGCTAATAATCAGTCTCATCTTGGTTCATCCTGTGAGACAAATGTCCAATACTAATCCCATGACCCAATCAACTCTAAAAAACAACAGACCAACCTACAAGTTTCCTCTACAAGGCTGCAGCGTGGCGAAACCTAAGAGCCATTTCTTATTCCTCCTCCTCTGGGCCAATCACTACTTCTCCAACTATGAAAGAATATTCTTGGAACTCATAATCCTCCATACACCGAGAAAGTCTCTCCACCTTGTTTACAAGCAGGATATCAAAGGCAGTCCAGCCTATTACCACCGTGATAGTGGAGGTGACTACTGCCATAAACAAGAGTGTCTCCAACTCGATGGCAGGACAGCAACAGGAGACGCTCTCGTGAACAAAAACCCTGCTGCAGGAGAATCTAGATATGTCTTTTACACTCTGACCAAATGCTTGAAGTAACATTGCAGAAGATTCTGGTTCTGATGTACCATTGTAAAACGCAGGCAGCCAGTTGGACAAATGTGTATTACTGACAACTCTATAACCAGTATAATCTTCTAAAATATAGAGATGCTCTTTCACAATTGGAGGAGGAGTGTGTCGGCTCAAAGATGAGCTAGAAAGAAATCAGAAGTCACTTTATTGGACCACCACAGCACACCAAATATGTTGGAAAACCTGATGTAGTAGAAACTCCCATATGTAGACCATTCTTCTTCTCCTCATAAATTACATAAGTAGTGTAAATCAAATTAATAAGTTTAATTTGGTTGATTTATAGTCAGTCCCTATATGCTTCTTTTATTAGTTTTCTTGCATATATATATATGTGAGTACCTTTTATTTTCGTTATGTTTTTCCATTTTGTGAGACTTGTAATTGAGTGCCAAAGGGTGTTCCTTAGCTATGTTTGGATTCTGCTGTACCTGTATTGAAATGTTTGAATTACTTTAGTGTTTATTTCATGGTTTATATTTGTTAAAGAGTCTTTGTGCTATGTATGCATCATTGTAAAAGATTTTGTATTTTGACAGTTTTGCTTTTGATTTATGTAAAAAGACTGCAGTGCATTAATGGGCATTTTGATGTTTGATCTTTGTTAAATGGTATTGCTTGTCATCTTCATTCATTTTTAAAGGACTTACTTTCATCCAGTTTTTATGTTAGTCAATGCAAAGGATTTTATTTTAACGTGTTTACTTACATAACTTCATTGATATCAAGGATTTTCATTTTTGCATGTTGTTCATATTTTGCTGTTAAGTGGTATTTTCATTATATGTTACGTTCTAATAATTATTAAAATACTTTTATTTTCTATTGTATGAGTGATTCATGTTTTGTTGTTAAAAGATTTGTTTTGATATGTTGTCTTTGTTAAATGGTTTTCTTATAATATGTATAATTTGCTTTTCTTCTGGATTAGTTTTGTTTTGGCAAAGTTTCTTTTCCTGTGTGATTCATTCATACTGTTGGACAAATGCTTTTACAGGAGTGACAAAATTTATCTTAAATTCTTGACAGATGTGCAAGTTAGATTTTAATTGAATTTAAGTTTTAAAGTGAGGGACAGCCTGGAAATAAAAGAAAGAGCAAACATGTAATATGAGGGCACATCATGTATTTTCTACTTCCACCCCCTCTTAACTGGTAGACACTTTTAAAACATTTCCAGCAACATAAGTCAAGGGAACTATTAAATACTTGTGTTAGTTACTCGCGGGATTGTCTGAGTCGTCATAGTCATTGTGTGCTTTTCTTTTGGAAGAGATCATTATAGTAGAACCATGCTATGAATAGAAGCAGTGCACTATTCTAGAGGCGCACCGTTGCATTATTCGGGGTGGCACTGGGTCAAGTTGATCATGTGTGTACCCGAGGAGAGAGAAGTATGTATGTAATGTAAAGTCTCCTTTGTTTCGTTAGCATATGAAGTGTCTTTGTTCTTAAAAATCTTCATTGTAGTGTACCTTATCATGAGCATTTGTACGCACGTCCAAATTTGGTTGAGATTCATTGACATTCTTTAAAAGTATAGATCGTGTTAATACATCCATGATACTTCAGCATCATAGAAATAGGAGGACACTGGTAAGAGAACCGATTACAACCAATTGTGAAGTTTTTTATTTGTTTTGTTTTATAAAGATTATGACTCTTTACATTATGAGTCTGGTTCTTTTCTTTTGATTTAGACTCAGTATTATGCAGATATAATACAACAATGTTCGGTAATAAGGTATTTGTCGATTCCTTCTGTTTTTACGGTCCCTGTAAGATAATCCGAGGAGATGTGGGCAATCTGGGAACGTTTCACTGTTCTTTCTATGAATATCACCTTACCCACTCAGTATTGTAACATTTTTATGCTGTATGAACACATATTCTATAGTTCAAGCTGATATAATTCTGGGCAACCCATTCTTCACGTCTGTATAATAAATGAAATTACGTGACTTACATCCATGCAGAATGGTGAAGGTGTGACGTCTTAGAAACTTGTTCTTTTCACGAAAAATGCCTTGCCCCCAAAATACTGTGACTTCCATACTCTTTAGAAATACATATGTAGTAAAATATGATGTTATATTTCTGAGGCAAACCGCTCCTTACATCTATATATTATTTTAATTTCCTGTAAATAACCATATATCACTGGACAAGTAAGTCTATAAATTGTTTATGAATATCAGCAGTTACTACAAGAAAAAATTATATACTGTTCAGAGCACTGTTGTTTCTCTTACAACTCATTGGTGAATTCAATCAACGTATTATAAAAAGACAAACTTTTGTTTTCAGATATGCTTAATTTATTTAATAATTAACACATCTACAGAAATAGTATACTGCCGCTATCCTGCAAAATATGATAATGACAATGAATGTTTCGCAAGTGCAAAGTATCCACCAAGAGGGAAATTAGGATCTCATATTTAAAGCTATACATAAGTTTTACATGAAATATACAAAAATAGAGAGATTCTTATCTTTTCGTTAGAGTGATCATTTAAAATAAATAGTATTGAAACATCTGCACTTCTGAATAAATTTCTATAGAATATTTTGACGTGCAAAGGTTTGGGATTGAGATTGCACTTTGAATGACTACTTATTTGTCCAAAACGTTCGCATATTTTTGAGACAAGACGTTCTTGATGATGAAAATGAGCTTTTAAAGATCCACACCTGTCCCAATCTGCACAGCAGTCAATCACGTTATTTCATTATTCCATATCAACGTGAATAGCGGGTTGCCCAAAAACATATAAGCTTTATGTATTAAATATGTGTCCGTACAGTACACAAAAGTTGCAATATTTCTAGGGCAAGATATTTTTCAAAGAGGGACCAAATCTTAAAACACCATAAATTTACAATTCTGGACAAATGTCAATCATGTTGTTTCGTTAGTCCCTATAGATATGAAGACAAGAAATATACCAGCATTATCTATTAGATATGTATCTATAAAGTATATAAAATTTACAATATTTCTAAGGCGAGACGGGTTTCGTAGAAACAACAGGTTCGGAAAACACTGTAACAGCACACCTTTGCTCGCCTATCAATACACACATATATATATATATGTGTGTGTGTGTGTTAAATATATAACTGGTGAACTATTTCTGGAACAAGATGTTTTTCATAAAGATTAGTAGCTTGAGACGACCACAATATTTAATTACTCAGCACAGATCATTTGTTTAAAAGCTTTCACTTTATTTATATAATTGCTGTAATATATGCAATCAGTTTGTTTATACATAGAAGTAGAGAGAGAGAGAGAATAGAATGTTTTCATGTTAGGATACTAAACCTACTTTAAATTTAACATGACTAAAGCTAATTTACATGATTTGATGGCGAAGAAAGTTAGTAATAACGTTTAACATATTTCACATCTGAACCAAACCAAGTATTTTGTAATTTTACTAATACAGTTTTGGTTGTTATTAAAGAGAAAGAGTTTCCAGTCAGTCAGCTAAGTAAAGTTTCGAGTAATTTCGGCAGTTCTCACTGTTCTGCCTCTTACCCACAGCCAAACTTCAGATGATTAAGGATTCACTGAGCCTTTAAAGTAATAAATCAAACTTCAAAATATTCCAAATCATATTAATTACTTTATTGCTATCAAGGATCGTACAGTTACTGTTAGTGTAGTTTGTAGGTGCTAGATTTGTCCTTTCACATCAAAACCACATTTCCGAGAACTTTTCTAATATAAATTTGTTAAGTAAACTATTAATATTCTTAAGATGTAGCCTTGTTGATGTGCGAAAAAGTAGTCACTCTCAATAATTATTTATACAATTAATATATTCCTCAGCAGATTATTCGCCTAAACACGCTTGTTGTTTTCTCTCTTGTTTTCTGTATTATTACTTTTATCTAACCGATAAATCAAAGCAAGCTATATGATATCTTTAACAACCCAGTGGCCTGAAGAAATATTCTTTTGCAATAATAGTGGAGATTTTTATTGGTATATTGAAGGCGGAGTTTAAGTAGTGCGTCATAAGCAGTTACCTTCAAACGATCAGTTCGACCTCTCTTGGGTTCGCGAGATAAATATGTTCATTTTGTGCATAATATACCTTCTTGGGGCCACATCTGTTGGTAGATTTGAATCATTGATTATTTGGTAATGCGTGGCCCCACAAATACGGTCACTATGGAAACCCGTGTACTGCAGGGTTCCCCATCACGTTACAAGTTAGTAGAGCGAACAGCACGAACCATGGTCGGCGGCCTTCCTAATATAGGTGGGATGGACGGCGACAGATACCGAGGGATGTCTTCTAGGGTTCGCAAGGCTCGTATGATTACCTTCTACAAGAATGGTGATCCTTTCCATTCGGGCACAAAAGTTTCCATAACACCTGGTAAGGACTTCAAAAGCTTGGAGAACTTGTGCGATTTCCTTACCCAGCGGACTAAGATCCCCCACGGTGCCCGTTTCATTTTTACACTTAATGGAAAGCGAGTATATGACCTGGAGGAATTACAAGATGGACAGTCTTACGTTGTGTCTGGCTCCAGGAACTTTCAGGAGCTGGCCTACGGTCAGGCTGCAAGAATGAGGACTGCACATACTGCCTACCGTCCCAATGCTGTTCCTCTCAGGGAAGATGACCTGCGTCTTCTCCGACCTGTTGATCAACAAAAAAAGAAAAGCTCAGAGGTTTCGTCAGGCAGTCAGTCCTTGCCTGCTTCTCTCCCTGGGTCACGAGAAGGAAGGGTAATCACGGTAGTTAACAGGAAAGATCAAAACATTCATAACCGTGTCCTTCTCAACATGAGGACGCCCCAACCATTTGAAGAAGTACTTGTAGATTTAGGTCAGGCCATCAAAATGAAACATGCGAAACGAATGTTTACATTATGGGGACAAGAGGTAAGAATGTTTAGGTTTTATTTCTATTTTATACATATATAGCGAATGTTTACATTATGGGGACAAGACGTAAGAATGTTTAGGTTTTATTTCTGTTTTATACATATATAGCGAATGTTTACATTATGGGGACAAGACGTAAGAATGTTTAGGTTTTATTTCTATTTTATACATATATATAGCGAATTTTTACATTATGGGGACAAGACGTATGAATGTTTAGGTTTTATTTCTGTTTTATACATATATAGCGAATGTTTACATTATGGGGACAAGAGGTAAGAATGTTTAGGTTTTATTTCTGTTTTACACATATATAGCGAATGTTTACATTATGTGGACAAGTCGTAAAAATGTTTAGGTTTTATTTCTGTTTTATACATATATATAGCGAATTTTTACATTATGTGGACAAGTCGTAAGAATGTTTAGGTTTTTATTTCTGTTTTATACATATATAGTGGTATTTGTGTTTTGTAGTTATGACATTATAACTATTCGCCGCCGTTTCTAATTTTAATACATTGACCAGATCCTAGAAATCTAGTCAGCAGCACCATATCAGCTGCAGTCTATGCTAACTTATTGACTGTCACACTTATAATGCACCCACAATTTAAAATCCAAGAGAATATTCTGTAGTGTCGCACAGATTCCAGCCGGACTCAAAACTAAAGAAATACACCGCGACATTGAGTACAACTCATAATAAGTTTGTTTTCCTTATGTTGAATATATCTTAGAATACACCATCAATTCCTTTAAATTGTTAGGATAAAATTTGAAATCAACTAAATGTCGATAAAACTTGCAATGTATATGAAACAACAACACATGAAAATGTTGTACCACAGCTTTTAGATAATTAGCATTACTCCTCTAATCTTTCAGTTCAGAGTGCAAGTAAAATTAATTCATGAGAAAGAAGCAAATACTTTTAACGTAACCACACTGTTTTTGTTTTGTTTTTATTTCAAAAGTGTCATTTAAGAACCGATCATTATATGTTTTGGCTATTAAAAATTCATTAAATGTTTATTAAATACGACACAAAAGTTACTTGTTATTACCTACTTAATAACACAAGGTTATGCTATATATTGTACATACAAGGAGCGTTTTGTCTATAACTAGAGCACTATGATCATTTCTGATATTTTTATCTATATTATATTACCAGACAGACACGTAACGGTGTTTACTTGTGTTAAGTGCAATAGGATTAGCAGGCCTAAAAGTCAATAAAATTCTGTTTTCACTCTGGCTTCTGATATATATATATGTATATATAAACAGTAAAATGAAAAAAAAATGGTATTAGTAAACAGCTGGGGAAAGACTTTTATGTATTTTGAATGTGACTAAATCGTTGCCCGACACTAGGGTGAGTAATACTGACGTCAATATTCAATATGTATATAAACATCTATTTCTACATAGCTACGATCGTTACAGGTCATTTGCTAAATCTCTCTGGTGTACAACGGAGATTGGCTCTCAATGTTTACTATAAACGTCAAATGTACTCCATGGAAACCAAATCTTCGTCGGTCGAAATATGACTTTTATGAGATAATCCCATTTCTGTTTTTTTTTCAGTAATGTTAACTCTATTTAAATATTATTCTTAAATAAGACGAACTAAACATGAATTCCGAATAACAATTGGTAATAAAGAATAATCGTTTCATTAAACTACAGCTGTGTTGAATAAAAATATCTTAAACAACAGTACAATTAAGGAGCAATTAGAAAGTTATTAAAGCGCCCAATAAAGATTCGATATCTTTGTTTCAGAAACATCTCGTTTTTCGTTTTTTATTCGGAAGTTTTATAAATGTTGTAACATACATATTTTCTATTTATTTTGTTTACATTTTTTATACTAGTGTCGTACATCGTAACGTTTTAATGAAAGTATTTTATATTCAGTACGTATTTTATTTAAAGGAAGTCCAAAATAATTCGTTCAAGCTTATTTATAGAAGTTATTTCACTTGTAAAATTATTTAAAAAACATTAAATAAAATCATTGAATTATTTTTGTTTGTTTTGTAGATAAAAGGTTGTGGAGTAATTTTAAAGAATACAAAAGAAATTTCATCTTTCTTACGAAACTAAAGTATATAGGAGACGCCAAGTCTGGTTGCCAATCTTATTGTGTGTAAGATATATAGACATATATTAACTTGTACATATTAATATGCGATGTCTACTTTAAAAAATGTGTTTGCTGTCAACTTCATGAAATATCTGCTCATTTGAATTATTTTATTTTGTTTATACTTTTAATATGATTATGTTGTTTGTTTGTTTTTTGAAACGCCGTTTAAATAAGCTTTCGAAGAAGCTGAAAGATGATAAATCATCAACATCAACCTAAGAATTTTGTTTATTTTTACTACTTCATCCATGTTGCTAGGCAACGAGTATCACAAACGTATAGGAGGAAGGAAACTGTACGAAATTTCCATTATTTCTCAATCATAGGTTGGCTTGAAAGCAAATCATGATTCAGTTTGTAACCTTTTTCAAAGAGTTACTCATAATTCATAGGATAAGTTGTTATCAATATATATCATGTTTGTTTGAAACATGTTCGTTATTTGAAAAAAAAAATGGAATTCGATAATTTATGGTTATATTAAGAAATAATGTATGAATCATGCCTAAGGGCTACTTTCTGCTCAAATTAAAAAGCACAGAATAATTCGTTGAGTTATATATTGTCCATTTACATTTGAGATTTAATATAAATGATATATTGTTTTTGAATATGCAATACCATTAGAAAGAAAGACCCGACGCTCATCCTAGATCAGTAGATGAAAATTTGAAGAATTAATAGTATTATAAGTAAAATCTAAATTATTTAATCTGTTTTGTACTATTATAATCCAAATTAAAAGTAAAGTGTAACAGGGAAACGTGTTCTAAATCTGAACTGAGCTTAGAATATAGCGGATAAAATTACACTGACTGACTTATTGTTTACTAATGTAAGCATTATAAATAGAATATTATACTGTTTTTCATCAGTTCCCTAAATCTGCAGAAGAGTCTATAAGGCTGAAATCATCCTATAGTAATTCACATTGTGTGAACATCCTATATTAATTCACGTTGTGTTTATGAGTTAGTTTCTCTGCGAACTTCTCCCGCGGTTTTGGGGGTAGGAGAACCCAACTTGGCAACCAGACTTGGAGTGGTCCGAGAGTTTCCTTATCAGTATGGCATAGCACCTACCCTTATTGGTTTCGGAAAATAAAATAAGCTAAAACGCAGAGTCGCTGAACTCAAAACTGGTATAAGATTTTGTGTTTCTGGTCTCCATTGGAATTCCGAGTTGCCATATTTGAAATTTGTGTTCATATCCTCACTCACAAGCTAGCGGGACAAACTATGGAACAGGTCTAAAAGAGCAAGTTCTAGCGGTTTTTTTTCGGGATTAGATCCCCCTTGAGGTGACTATAGAAATAACTGGAGATAATGGAAGAGCGTGATGGACATATTAGGGCTTCTGAATATCATAAGGGAGTCTTTGAACCACGAAGCGTGCACGTCAACATAAAATTCTAATATTTTGTGAAGCGAATAATGAAACAAATTGTATGTTATTTTTGACTGCCATCTAACAGTGAAATGCTTTTAACTGATGTTAAAGATAAGAAAAAAAAACAGAAAGCTCCTGAAATTGAGAACGAGAAGAGCAAATGAACACTAATTATGATGTCTTATTTACCAGTTTCTGATGAAAAGAACAAAAAAAACCTCCCTTACGCTTGATATATCTTTTTCTTCGAAATAACGACTTTGATTAAACAAGTTTCGAGGAATACAATCCTTCATAAGTAATCCTGGACTAGACCGAAACAGAGGGGGATGTGGGGGTGGAGTAGCTCGTTTTGAGTTTCTGATGTCCTGATTATAGAGGTATGAAATTATTGTAAAAGTTTACGTCCAGTTTTACAGAAATAAATTCTATTTACAAAACTATTTTCTATAAAATACTTTATATCAGTTTTAGTAAATCACTTATCTCCCACAAATAATTGCAAGTCATGTATAGTTGTATATTTAGATATACACCGTAGAGGAAACGTACATTTCTATTACCTAATTACGTTGTAATTTCCTATCATCTACAAACCCGTAAAGAAATATCTACTCTCATAAACGATGTATGTCAACCACTGAGTTGGTTCTATTTCAACAGATACCTCCCTTACTGATATACTTTATATCGTATCATAGTTATATTTACGTGTAATATATGAACGAATTTGTAGTTGTATTTACGTGTAATATATGAACGAAGTTGTAGTTATATTTACGTGTAATATATGAATGAAGCTGTAGTTATATTTACGTGTAATATATGAACGAAGCTATTGTTCGTATTCCACATTTTACTTTTTACGCTCTGGGAGACATATTCTACTGAATCTTTCCTTACAACAGCAGTACCATTCGTACAATTTCAGCAGTCACAATTGCGTTGCAAAGATAATTAATATCCTTGGGTATATCACGTGCTAGTTTCTTTGTTTATACTCCAAAAATGTCGATCGCAGATTAAGACACAGTCCACGTGCTACCAAATGACCAGTGTACAGTGTAATATACCACAGTTCGTTTCCTCGTGACTAGCATCTTCACTGTTCATGCCTGTTTTGTTCACTCCTTGTTCCTTGCGTTTTATGAAGCATGTACACTTATTTAAAATGATGATGTAGGACGACAATCATTCTCAATAAACCGTACTGTGATAAGTTATCCGAGATTTTGTTTTTCTGGTCAACTAGCACAGCATAATAAGAAACACTTACTACAATATCTACAGTTTTCTGGAAATATATATGATAAAATGTACAAAAACTTCACCTTACATTCTAGGATTTACTTAAATTGCGTAAGCCAGAGATCCCTCTCTGATCCATTGTCGCAGCTACTGATTCAGCCAACCAGCAAATTTCTAAGCATGCTTTTTAATTAATATT